CAGTGACATCACGCCAGTCATTTGATATGGTGCGGGTGATTCGCGACAAGATCTTGAACCACCTCGTCAGTTACCGTCCTTCCCATGGCTAGTACTCACGAACCAGCATCTAATCTTTCCTATAGGGAGCGGATGATGTACCTCTTGTCATAGTAGGAAACAAGAGTGATCTCAAGCCCGATCACCGCCAAGTCACCCTCGATGACGGACGACAATTAGCGGAGGAGCTCAACTGCGCTTTCACCGAGGCTAGTGCCTTCCTTGATTTCAATGTTGCGAAAGCCTTTGATCTCATGATAGGAGAGGTTGAGAAGTCTCAAAATCCGTCACAACCAACTGGAAACAACAAGTGCGCTTTGATGTAATATGGGGGTCGTCTACTGGAACGCGTGTGTTTCTCCGGGGATGGTAAGCGAAGCCATCTCTAGATCTCTGGATCTTTAAAGTCAAGAAACATCAAACATCTCTTTGGAGCTGACAACACTATACTTTGCTCTTTTGATGTCCACTCAATTCAGATCTACGGATATCTTGTTTGCTGACTCAATTATTGACTTAGAGATCATCGCCAATTTGATAACACCAACTTGATGGCTTCTCGATGCCCTCATTCTTTTTGGCTCTATTTCTATTTTGTCTTTCTGGTGGAACCATTGGGGTTTTTGCATGAATAATGAGTTTTAGGGTCGAATTCGGGAACATGGATCGGTACTAAGCATAGAGTAATGAATTCTCAATTTAAACAGCCTTCTATAAGTACAGAATATATGCGAAGTGTTAAAATTCAACTGATCTATAGAAATATCCGTGGCCATAACTCTAGCTTATTTGGAAGTAAAGACCTTCCGGAGCGCTAGAGCGCCTTATCGATTAAGTAATGTAACCCCTCGAAGCCCAAGTGCGTGGATACACGCACTTTGATTTTCCTCGTTTTTACCCCTCCACAATTTGAGTCACCCCTCTACCACTTGAACTCCCCGGAACCCTTAAAAACTCCAATCGTCAATATGTTGGACCTAGCCGACTTTGTCACCGAGCGCGGTGGTGATCTCAAGAAGATCAAGGAGAGCCAGCAGAAGCGATTTGCTCCGGAGGAGACCGTTGATGAAGTTGTCGCGCTCTATGAAGAGGCACGACGCGGTATGGATTCTTTTCTTTTAGGGTTGGCGCGATCTTACTGATAGGTATAGCCCGATATGATGTCACACAGATGGGCTCTCAGATCAATGGAGTCCAGAAGGCGATTGGAATGAAGAAGAAGGTAGACATTTACCGGCCATTCTAGTTGGATGTGGAGATGCTTATCCGTTCTCAGAACAAGGAAGACGCAACCGAATTGCTCGCACAAAAGGCGGAACTCGAGACAAAGAAGAAGGAGCTCGAGGAAGCTGCTGTCGCCAAGGAGGTTCAACGCGACCGAAAGATTCGCACCATTGGAAACTACGTCCACGAATCCGTGCCTGTGAGCAACGATGAGGTATGAATCTTTCAAGTCGCGTGAGGATCGAATGCGCCGTGAGACTAACAAGTGAATTTCTGGCTACAGGCAGACAACAAGCTGCTCAAGACATGGGCCCCCGAGAACGCCGAAATGCAGAAGCCAGGTTGCCTCTCCCACCACGAAGTGTTGACTCGTCTCGATGGATATGACCCCGAGCGGGGTGTCAAGATTGTCGGCCACCGTGGATACTGCTTGACTGGATACGGTCTTTTCCTCAACTTGGCTCTGATCAACTATGGTCTGGAGTTCCTCTTCAACAAGGGCTACACTCCCAACCAGCCCCCTCAATTCATGCTCAAGGATCTCATGGCGAAGACCGCGCAGCTCGAGCAATTCGACGAGGAGTTGTATAAGGTTACTGAGAGCGAGGATAAGTCCACCGACAAGTACCTCATTGCTACCTCCGAACAACCATTGTCTGCCCTTCACGACAGCGAGTGGCTCCAGGACAAGGATCTTCCCATCAAGTAAGACCCCCTTGTCACCCGAGACTTAGTTGTTTTCCTGACCAGAAAAATAGGTATGCCGGTTACAGCACATGCTACCGTAAGGAGGCTGGATCTCACGGTAAGGATGCCTGGGGTATCTTCCGTGTTCACCAGTTCGAGAAGGTTAGCATAGATCCGAATGCACTGGATTTTCACGTTCTAACCCCATGCAGATCGAGCAGTTTGTCCTTACCAAACCCGAGGATTCATGGCAAGCATTTGAGGACATGATGAACACTTCCGAAGAATTCTACCAGTCCCTAAAACTTCCTTACAACATTGTCGCCATTGTCTCCGGCGCCTTGAACAACGCGGCATCCAAGAAGTACGACCTGGAGGCTTGGTTCCCATTCCAGCAGGAGTACAAGGAGCTTGTCTCCTGCTCCAACTGTACCGATTACCAGTCCCGAGCTCTGGAGATCCGTTACGGCGTGAAGAAGGCCACCGATCTGAAGAAGACTTATGTTCACGCCCTGAACTCCACCCTGTGCGCAACCGAGCGTACCCTCTGCTGTCTGCTTGAGAACTACCAGAAAGAAGACGTAAGTGTGAAAAATTCATTGGTGATTCTGATAGTAGCTAACTATTATTTAGGGTATTGAGGTCCCAGAGGTCCTGCGTAAATACATTCCCGGTTCTCCCGAGTTCCTCCCTTACACCAAGGAGCTTCCCAAGGATAGCACATCTACCAAGGCCAAGGGGAAGGCCCAGAAGGGCACCGATGATGCCACCAAAAAGATGCAAGGTCTTCAGGTTTAAGGAGATATCCCATGATGTACCTTGAGATACAAATTACGAATTACAATGGCTTAGTTCATGGTTTATAGGCATATGTACAAAAGAATAGTCAGCTGCTCATGCGGCCTCTATCCTTCACGATGTAGGACTTTGATAATCTGATCTATTTGGCTCTAGATATACTAGGGACATTTTATTCAAGATAACACTGATGTTCTTTTAGATGCTTGTCCAGGTTTTAGTGTTCTAGCTACTCAGTAGAAGTGTTGGAGCACCATCCCAAGTATGCTTGCTTGATTGCTTGTTTGCTACCGATCGAGCCTTTGTTTAGATGGTTTTAACGGGGTATATAAACCCCTGAATTTCTAAATACATCATGATTATTCTTCTTCTGCTTTCTCCCATACTTCATTCAGATCTACACGTTATAGTCAAGCTGTTGAGGCCAAAGTGAAGGTTGAATAAGTTAAGGTTGAATAAGTGAAGTACTGTCACCATTGAGAATCTATCTATTCAGGGTGTACTCAATTGGAAGGAGTATTAGAAGGCTTTGTTTGCTTTTGCTCAAAAGGGAAGGCACCAGTCCCGTGAATGTTAAATTTCTCCTCTTCACTCTCTTCCTTCTTTTCCATCTTTCACTTCTCTCTTCTTTCAATTAGAGGCTGAGAAGCTCCAACGGGATGGGAAATCTCGTTGAGAGATGTTCATCTTTCCTTGCAGGGACGGCTGGCTTTGGTTTGGCCTGTTCCTGGTGAGTTGACGAACGTGGCCAATCTTGAAGAAACGGCTGGCTTCGGCCTAGCCTGTTTCTAATAGAATGTCCTTATCCTCCTGCGTGTTTTTGTTGCTTTTTCCATCCTTATAAGAACGGCTGGCTTCGGGCGTGGCCTGTTCTTGGTGGGTTATTTCCGGCCTTCATTTGGCCGGGGTCTTCCAGGACAACTGGGGGAGTCTGTCCTGGAAGATCCAACAGCTACGAGCTTGGACCTCTACGTGGTGCTGTTGACTAGTAGCCATCTGGCGAAGCCAACACAAGCTCAAATCACCCATCTTTCCTGAACCTCTTTGCAATATCCTGTTCTACACTAAGAACTGTTTCAGTGAAAGCAAAGAGTTGGATCTCGAGGGTTGCTATAAGCATGGAACAGGTTGATACATGACTCTGTTGCTGATATTTGTCGCCATCTACACATGACCTGATTTCTTGTACTATGCTCTTGGCAGGAGAAAGTGGCCCAGGTTACCCTGTTTGATGATGAATTCCCTGATGCTACTGTTTATTAGAAATTTCTGATCGTCTGGAGGGCAGAGAAGAATGGTGCAGACGTGCCTTGGAACTCCCTTCGACCGAGCCCACACGCAGCATGAACTCACAGCCGCAACACCTATCAGTGACGAGGATAATCGAGACGCCCTCACTGGCCAAAGACCGTTGAATGACGAGGACATGGACCGAGAAATAAATGATAAGGGCACAAAACAGAAAAGAATTTCCTATTTTATTATTTTCTCACATGGTGGCTGTCGCCCTTTCTAAATGGCGTCACCGGGGACGTTGACGACGCTTTTTGTGCGGGCATTGTTAGGGACTCGTCACCTGAAACCCCACTCGACGCTTTATGTAGTTATCCGCCACCAGATAGTTAGTTTAGGAACGGCATCTGTTTTCCATCTCCCATGACAAAACCCGCTGATTGGTGGAGTAGAGCTATTTGATCACCTGATGCCGTTCAGGAAAGGATATACCACCTGCCAGCTTATGGACTCTGCAGAGAATACAACTGAGGTATCAAGGAACAGCCCAGGTAGAGCGCCAAATAGTTCTATATTGGGGTATTGGACTACTTATGAGTGTTGTCAAGTTATAACCAAGTAAAGTCTCTCCGAGGTTCCAAAATGTAAATACAAGAACAAGCACTAGAACAAGCACAAGCACAAGAACAAGAACAACAAGCACAGGCACAAGAATAACAAGAACAAGAACAAAACAACCTCCCTCCACCTCACATCTTCACCCACTTTTCTTTCTTCATCTCACCTCGCTGAGGTTCTCGGAGAGAAGCAAAAACGGGACGAAGAGTGGACTTTTTTTTGTGGCGTTCCTCTGGGGCTTTTCGACCCTTCATGTGCCTTTTTTCATTCAGCTCACCTCGCTAAGGTTCTCGGAGAGAAGAAAACGGACAAAACAACCGAGGAACGCCGTCGACTCAACAACCCTTCATGCCGCCGGGACAACCGCCGCGGCACTCCTAACATCGAAGACCTTCTTGCAACTATGGCTGGCATTGCGCATAGTTGTAGTGGTGGCGGAGACCGCAGTAGGGTCCCGCTTCTTGGGGCGGGGGGTTGACCTCCAGGATGGAGAAGACTTCACCGTTGGCTTCTAAATAGCCGTCGGTGCGCGCAGTCATTGAATTATTGCCAAACGATGCCGCGTCGAATGGAGAGCGAGCGGAATACCATTCACATCGGAGCTCACTAGGGAAGATATTGACAGCTCTTAGGAACAGTAATAATGCGTCATTGACGAGTTGCTCGTCTTTGGTTGGACCGAACGGCAAGTTGGAATCAGCGGAGGAGGCGAAGGGGCGAGGGTCGCGTATCCCGGGGGGATCGGGATTCGGGATAAACTTCACCTCGTCGCCAGCCAGGCTGGCGGGGTCGGGCGGGGCCACATCGGGACCAGTGGGATGGAGTATGACGGGGAGGGGGGCCGGGTTTATCTTCAACATAATCCTGAATTGAATCTGAAGTGAATCTGAAGTGAATCTGAAGTGAATCTGAAGTGAATCTGAAGTGAATCTGAAGTGAATCTGAAGTGAATTGGCAGATCTCTTGGCCGCTAGTTTAGGGGTGAGTGAATCTTTATAGGGTAGACTGTTGTATGTGCCGATGGCATACTTAGTCACCCGTACACTTGGTGTCGAGGGCTGTCTGGGGGATCATGGCGGCCGCAGTCAAGGTATCGAGGCTATGCCACGAGATGTCAGCCAAAGTGTATAAAGACCCTCCAGAATACCCCCAAAAGAGTTTCTACGGGGATTATGGTCTTTAACTTACGTGATCTCCTCGGTGTTCTTGGTGCTTGTCGCCCTCCTCCTCCTTCTTCTTCTTGCCCCATTTGAAGTAAACGAATCAAGCTATGCCGCCCATAAGGACGGCTGCCACGAGAAAAATCAAGGCCCAAATGCCCCCTGGCAGCTTGTTCAGGTTATCGATGGCCGTGGGGGACTTGGAGGGTATGGAGGGGTTGGTGGAGGGAGTGGACGAGTGGGTCGTAGAGGGCTCGTGGACGACGAGGGTATGGGAAATGGTAGTGGTAGTACTCATGGTTGTGGTAGTGTTTGTTCACGGTATAATCAGATTTGAGATATTTTTGAGACGAAAAACATCTGGGGCTAGGGGAAACATGATATACCCTCTACCTAGCAAGTTCGTGCCTACTGAAACTATACTATTTACGTTGTAACTACGTCTGTAACTTCCTATTTTACGAAGATAGTCAGATCTTATTCTGCAGTTTTGTCATAATTTGATCACTCTAGAGATCCTCGTTCCACTTTTCCATTAAGGCCGAGCTAAATGTTTCAAAATTCTCTTCCAAAAGCTCCTGGGTGGCTTTGCGGGAGTATCATGGCATTGAAGGCTTTGGCCGAGTTGATCATTGATCTTATCCACCTTTGCCGAGAGCTCGAAGAACCGGTCGCAAAAGCACGGAGATCCAGCTCCCTCTACTTGTTTGATCCCTAAAGAGTGTTGAGAATTGTATCCCTCGTGTTGCATCTGCCGGTTTGGATCCCGCCTTAAAGAAGCGTAGGTCTGGTCGAACTCACTAACAGTGAGCCTTAACATAGCGGTATAGAGTTCGGTGTTTCCAGCGACACGTTCCTTGTAAACATTTGCCAACTCTGCAGTTATATGCGCCACCTCTGTAAATTTCCGACTCAACTCTTGAGAGACCTCCTCAAGCAGAACGTAATCAGTGTCGGTGGGATTTTTCTCTTCTGCTAAGTTAATGACCTCTGTCTCCAGATTGTCTAGTCGTTGGTGTAATATCCGGCGAGTATGCTCGTTCTCAATAACAGAGGTGAGTATATCTTGGCTTGGCTGGCATGGGTCGTATTGTGGAGGGCGGTTGTCGCAGTCGGGGCCTGTCTTCGATTCTTGGCTTTCAAACAATAGTTCGGACATTTTCAGGGATGATTAAACGATTTTTGTATATTGGAAGTTGTTGTATCAGGGAGGAGATGGAGATTTCTTGGAGAGAAAAGAAATCTGGGATGGGGGACATGTAGTTATATCTGCTTCCAGCCGCCACCTAATATAGCATCCAGAGCCATGATAGTAGCCTACGCCAACTAATTCGAGCTCCGTTGTTCAAAAGGTGATCGGCCTCTTGATATCCCCACTGATTCCGCTCTATCCTGTACAAATCGGCATACGAGATCGAATAGTATGGCGGAACTAATGTGAGATTCTGTTAGGATCGCATGGTACCCAGGTGTATAGCGTTCAGGGTTACTTTGACGGGATTGGTGCCTTGATGCCTAACTTTGGCCTGATTTATGCCTGGTTCATGTCTGAATTTACTACATTTGGTAGTACTCGGAACTAGCTAACTAACTAACTAGTTAAATCATCTCACAGTTAGCTATGAATATTGAATCAACCATACAAAGATAAACCCATGCTGCTAATCCTCTCACTTCATCCACTAACTAGCTAAAGTGTGGCCCTCGGTTCGATATTAGTGTTCACCATGACCTCGTGAGGTTGTCCCATAGGGCGAAGCTGCACTTCACGACCATGATACGGGCTCTAGAAAATGGGTATGGTACGACAGTAAGCTCGTTATCTATCTGACTCGGATTGAAATGAAACTGCGCGTAAATTCGGGGTGTTGAGGTTTTCAGAAACCGACGAGGTTAAAGTGCTTGAAACGAGGGTTGAGTGTGGCTCTGGCTCGCAAAGTCGAGGTCAAAAAGAATATTCAAAACAACCTCCAAAAGGAAAATGATTATCTCCCTGTCTTTAATGTCACTCAGTTTGCAAGATCATGTGTTAACGAAATTAGAGAGAGTGCATAGGCAACGCTTAGCCGGAGCAAAATGATTACAGCTACTGTGTCATGCCATGCACTATATATATCGGAGACTGGTCTATCTGAGCGTAATGCTCAGATATAGTGGTCTTTTGGCCTAGTTTGTAACTCGCCAGTCCAGGGGCAGGTTGTAACATACTGGTTTCATGTCTACACCTTCACTATCTAAATATGGCTGCAGAAGAATGAGGACCGGATACGCTTCAATGCACAAGGTTCACACGAACAAAATTCTCATTGTTTGCTTCAGTTTTAAAAAGAAAAACAAGAAAAAGAAAAAGAAGGAAAAGAAAAATGGCCGGAGAGAGAAAACAAGACTTTCCTCACTGGCATATTATACGAAGTTAGCATTCTGTTTACACAGTGCAGGATCCAAAACACTTGGATCTCAGAGATATTGCAACCTGGTTCAAGGAGAAACCAGAGAGGGGGAGACATACGGGACCAAAGGTGGGAGGAGAGTAAGAGGGGGAGTATGGAGGAGAGGAGGGGATGGGGGAGGCCGGCGCCGGGTCGGTAGGGCCACCTGGTAGTGGCTCGGTCACTGCCTGCTCGGTGGTACCTTGGGAAGCACCCTGGCCGCCATCACGGTCAGGGCCACCAAGGTCACCACCACCACCATCACCACCATCACCACCACCACTACCGGGGGCGGCAGCATCAGCAGCGGTGCGACGCAGAGTCGCGGCGGTGGCCTGTTTGCGACGCACATGTTAGAAACGATATTCAGTCACAGTACAATCCCGAGAAAAAGCTAGTTCTCATGGAGGGACGATAACAGACGGTTTCTTACCTTGTTCAAGGCAGAGTAGGCGGTTGTCCACAATCTGCTTACCTCCTCAGCAGAAGGAGGGGGCGCGTTTGCGGCGGCCTCAGCGGCCTAGTCTAGATGTTAGTGATGCTCAATCAACTCCAGAGTTTGATGGTTCTCTTACCCGCCTGGCTCGTCTCTTTCTATCCTTGCGGTTTTTTCTCTGGCGCTTTGTAAGGCGAGCCATGTTTTCTTTTTGGTAAATTGGAAGGGGAAAACAAAGAGAGAAGATCTCATGCCATGTTCTGACTACATAGGTAACGGTGTCCTACTGGGAAGGCACCTACCTAACTAGGTAGCCATGTGACATATTTTCCACGGCCAGCTCGATACTGCTCAATGATACACAATGCTTCATCACATCTATACATGTAGTCGATGGATCGTAGATTTAGCTCCATTATTCATTTACTTGCAACTCAGACTTCATGCTCTTTCAGTTTATACTCCATTCAGATCAAGCATTTGCATGCAATACTATAACTCGCAAACAAACCATTTCATCCAGACAGAAGTTCATAAATTTCGAGCAGTCATAGGATTTAGCTAGCCACAAGCCAAAGAAATCTTCAATATGTAGCACTTGAATCACTTCGATACTCGTTTCCACTGCCAAAAGGCTTCCTTCTTCCAATACCACGCAAGTGATCTTACCATTGACATATTTCCAAGCCCAAAGATACCCGGCTTAGAGAAATAGCCCTCTGTCATTGCCAAAAGATAAGAGGGATTTTCGCTCCGCAGTCTATCCAGTAGATAGACTTTTGACCACCACATTCCAATCATCATCGGTTATTAAATGACCACGATTAACTTTGCAGCACCAACAACTCACCGTGCAGTGCCCAATACCCTTCTCCTTGCCAGCTAGACAACGCTTTTCACGACAGTCACAGGTCCGACTACAGCAGCCACCCCTCTTTATACAATCTTTTATATCATCCCCTTGCTATATCCATGTAACTAGCATGACCTAGTTAGTTAGGGCTGGGCAGAGCATGTTGATTATGTAATGATGGATACCAAAAAGGATAGGCATGTTTAGGATATCCTACGATTTAGCTAGACACCTTCCAAGGTTGTATGAGTTATATCACAATATCCTCCTACATATATGTACACTATAACTAACTAGTTAACTAGTCCATGTAGTTAGCAGGCCATTGCCTAAAGCAGATAAGCTCAGCCGATAAACATGTGATCTACGTCTGATTGGTCAAAACGGGTGCTTTTTTTTTTTTTTTTCTTTTGCCCCGCGATGCCCCTCCAAAAAAGAATCCATTGACTAGTTACAACATACATATGGAGAGTACTATATCTCAACATCTATTCAATTAAAATGGTTAAATAGGATCAATTCATCATAATAATAACTAAATTTACATAGTATGTAGTAAATGTACATATGTACTTAGTTGTTGCAAATCCCGAAAAATCACCGAGTCCGATTCCGGAGACCTTGCGGGCTTACTTAATTTCCATTAAGAGTCATCCAGGTGGACCGCCTGAGCACTCATCCACATCTTCCCTGACTGTTTCTCTTCAATCTACTTCAATCCTCTATACACGTCAATCATGTCAAACGCAAGAGATATCCGTCCTCGTCAGGACGACGCCGCCGCCTTCGCCGCTACCTCCCCCAGCGCTTCCTTCAATTCCCCATCCAGCCACAGCTCTGCTCTGAACCGTACGATCCCAATCAATGCTAAGCCCTTGAAGCCATTCGCCACAGAAGATATCAAGGTCCTGCTCCTGGAGAACGTCAACCAGACCGGCCGTGAAATCCTTTCCCAGCAAGGCTACCAGGTTGAGTTCCTGAAGTCTTCACTCTCAGAAGATCAGCTCATTGAGAAGATTCGGTGGGTCCCAATCCAATTCCCTCTCTCTCTCTCTCTCTCAGTGACTCACAAAGCTAATGGATTGTATTATATTGCAGTGATGTCCACGTCATCGGTATTCGCTCCAAGACCAAGCTCACCGCACGAGTCTTGAAGGAAGCAAAGAACCTTATCGTCATCGGTTGCTTCTGTATCGGTACCAACCAGGTCGACCTCCAATATGCCGCTGACCAGGGTATTGCCGTCTTCAACTCCCCCTTCAGCAACTCTCGCAGTGTTGCCGAGTTGGTCATCGGTGAGATGGTCATGCTGGCCCGCCAATTGGGCGATCGCTCCAACGAGATGCACGCTGGTACCTGGAACAAAGTGAGCAACGGTTGCTGGGAGATTCGTGGAAAGACCATCGGTATGTGATTTTTTCTTCAACCATTATGTTGTTTCTGGGGTGTTTCGCTGACCCTTTCAGGTATCATTGGATACGGTCACATTGGTGCCCAGCTCTCCGTATTGGCTGAGGCAATGGGAATGTCCGTCATCTACTACGACGTCCTTAACATAATGTCCCTGGGTACCGCACGCCAGGTCAAGACTTTGGATGATCTCTTGGCCGAGGCCGATTTCATTACCTGCCACGTTCCCGAGATCCCCGAGACCAAGGGCATGATCGGACAGAAGCAGTTCGAGAAGATGAAGAAGGGAAGCTACCTGATCAACGCCAGCCGAGGAACCGTTGTGGATATCCCCGCACTTATCGACGCCATGCGCAGCGGTAAGGTTGCTGGTGCCGCTCTGGATGTCTACCCCAATGAGCCCGCCGGAAACGGTGACTACTTCAACAACGATCTCAACACCTTCGCAGCTGATCTGCGCTCGCTCAAGAACCTTATCATCACCCCTCATATCGGTGGAAGTACCGAAGAGGCTCAGAAGGCTATTGGTGTCGAAGTTGCCCAGAATCTGGTCCGATATGCTAACGAGGGTTCCACCCTGGGTGCTGTCAACCTGCCCGAGGTTGTCCTCCGTTCTTTGACAATGGATGAGCCTGACCACGCTCGTGTAAGTTCGCTCTGCAGTTATCTGGGTTTGCGATGATACTGATTTTTCCTAGGTGATCTACATCCACAAGAACATTCCTGGAGTGTTGCGAAAAGGTAAGAATACATATGATTCAACCGAATGGATCTTTTAACTGACAATAACACAGTCAACGAGATTATTGGTGACCACAACGTCGACAAGCAGATGACCGATAGCAGAGGCGATGTGAGTTTATCCGTTCTTTTTATACGAAAAAGAAAGATAGCAGAAACTAACTGTTAAAAGGTTGCCTACCTGATGGCTGATATCAGCAATGTGGACGCTGCGACCATCAAGGATTTGTATACCAGACTCGAGAGCCTTCCTTGTAAGATCATATCCGTTCTCTCTCGCATAAGCTCAAGCTAACAACCTTTTCAGCTCGCATCATGACCCGCGTGTTGTACTAAACAACCAACCCAAGAAAAAAACAAGCTAGCCTTCAGGCTATGATGCTTTAATCAACTTAAAATAGATGAGCCCTCGCACGGCTTAATCTCAATTGCAATAGGACACTCTCAACGAGGTCTTAGGATATTACAAGAATGCAATTGCCAACTCACGAGAGTATAGTTATTGAGTTGGATACGACTGATGGAAAAGCGGTTGGGTGTATATTTTGTGAATACCATGCATCATTTACTAGAGAAAAGCCATGACATGAATGTTTTCGTTTCCATTTCCATTTCCATTTTCATCTGCCATGTCATCCACACAGATTGGCTGGCTAAGTATAATGCATTAAGTGAGAAAGAATATCGCTAGACATCATGAACCTACCCTCGACTCCCGTCTCTGAACCCGGGACTGCGACTCCTCCTTCTTGATGGAGGATCCCGGCGGTAATCCCGTCGACTTGACGAGCGCCAATCGGCACTTGAATGTGAGCCATGCTCGCCAGAATCTCGCGAACGATCATTGCCACGGTCATTGCTGCTGTAATTCGGAACATAAGAGTCCAGATTCCCTGATCGGGGTGCTGGACGACCATGTCCGTATTGATTTCGACGATCATCTCTCCCGTCGGTTCTGTTGGATTGCGATCCATCCCATGGCGGGTTGGTTGATGCGGGTGGACGCGGGGGTAATCCCGAATCTCTTGTAGATGGGAAGGGCCCGCGGCGTGGCGGGTTCCCGTGGATTCCGTGGTGGCCGTGGCCTCCGTGCATGCCTGGTGCATGGGGTCTGCCTCCTCGGCCGGCGCCGGGGACGCGGCTGTGTCGGGAGTCTGGTCCGCGAGAACCGGAGGTTGGCCAGCCGCCATTGCTTGTGTCGGAGGCGGGTGGGGGAACCGGGGGCATTGGGACTCGCTGGCTGCGGAACTTCTTTCGGTCGAGTTCGTGGGAGTCTGCGAACTGGGGGATTTCGCCGGGTCGTGCTGGGAGGGGGTGAGTGGTGAAGTATGGGTGTTTCAATGCATCCATGGCGTTGATGCGTTTTCTCCAGTCTAGTCGGAGGAACTCGCTTAGTAGAGAAATGGCTGCCGGGTTTAGGCTGTTCAACAGCATTGTTAGTTAGGGGCACATGTCTTCTTGGGCCGGGGGGGAGAGAGAAGTGACATACTCCTTGAAGAATGCATGGAGGTTCCCGCGTTTGAAGGCAAAGTTTTTCACGCCCTCACAACCAGGGAGTTGACTCCATCCAGGCATATTCTCCTCAGTGGGAGTGCCCACAAGATTGAATATCAGTTCTGCTTGGTTAAGATCGCTGTTTCCGGCGAGGATGGGCTTGCCCTTGAACATTTCGCCAAACACACAGCTATAAGACATTAGAAGATGATAAACCTGACTAACAGGAATGGAAAACTCACCCAACTCCCCACAAGTCGATGGCCGTAGTGTATTTCCGTAGCTGTAGCAACAACTCTGGAGGACGGTACCATCTCGTGACAACAAGTGCAGTGTATTCTCTTCTGGAATCTCCTCCTCCTTTTCCGGGGAGTGGAGGGGCATCGTCGTAAGGCCGAGCAAGACCGAAATCAGCAATTTGGAGAATCCCTCCATTGCTAATTAGCAGGTTTGCCGCTATTCATTCTGTCAGCTCAGAACTATGGTATATCAGCATTCACCACTCACCTTTCATATCACGATGTAGGATACGGTTCTGCGAATGTTGTTAGACAAGTATTGCAGGGATGGGTGTTTCAAGGCGATCGTACTGCATGCATGAACTTAAGCCCCTCGAGGAGTTGCATTAAATAGCATTTAATCTGTGGTTCCGTGAATTGAACTGCCGGGTTTTCCAGTAGTCCTGACAAGTCATGTTCCATGTATGGGAATACCATGTACATGCTCGGCTTTTTTCGTCCTTCGCCTTTGCCTCGCTCAATTGACATCTCCTTGAGCTGTAGAATGTTTGGGTGGGAAAGCGCCTTCATGAGTTTGATCTCTCGGATGGCGGTAATGGGGAACTAGCATAGCACCAAACGTCAGTTTATGGCAAACAAATAAGATAGAGTCAGGGGACTTACGCCTTCTTTCTCGTGATGCATTAGGATCTTTTTTAAGGCCACAATTTTGGTGTCCTTCTTAGACCTTGCTTTGTAGACCTCGCTATCAACCTGTCAGTTGGTTTCTTTCGGCGATACCACTGCCAGACTCACCCAAAGGTTCCTTCTCCAAGCTTGTCGAGGAATTCATATTCACGAATATTTGAACAACCAGGGAAACGGGCCTGGCCATTCTCGTTCTTTTCCAGGGATTTGATCTCCATACTGACTCGTCGCTTGCGCTAGTCGCTCGCGGTGGAGGAAGAAGGTCGATTGCACTATCCGGTGATTAGGTCAATGTCGACCACGGTCAAGCTGTTCGGTATGCTTTGGTTTGATGTTGGATCAAGATGCACGGAGGAGCGAGAAGTCTTCGGAGACAGAGGGCTGGGGGAAGCTTTCAAGGGTGAATTAACGGGGATCTTCTCGGGAAGAACCAAGCGCGGCAAATGTGTTAGAATATAAGTCCATATCACAGGTGAAAGCATGTGCGACGATTTCGCATTGTTCAAAGCCGTCGTGTACGGAGCTCAATAAACTCAATAAACTCAATAAAGACCTGAGCAGGAACCAGCCTATTCAAGGCACAAGTTAAATAAGAGTCAGATGACTCTCCAAAAAGAAATCAAATGATTGATCTGCTGATTGTCCTGCCGAACAATCCAAACACTGCGCTGCGGTGGAATTCGAGTGCCGTCACGGGTCACGTGAAGCCAACCTCTCCGTCTCCATTGAACCGCAGAGCCCTCCGTCTTCAGATCCGATTCGAGATTGGCGTTTTACCAACCACAGTCATTTTCAGCACACAGTAAGTATTTCTTACCTGCGCCTTTCTTTACTCGTACGGATTCCGTGAAACTAATTGCTTCCCAATCTGTACAGTCATGGCGGGCCACTCCTCCCACCCTATCCACATCCACCCGGTCCGACCGCTCTACCGCTTCACTGCGACTGCATTGGGCGCTAGCATGTGGTTCTTCGTAAGGATTGCCTTCCTTTTATACCAAGAACTTATACTGACAGGACTCCTCGGGGTAGCTCATGTACCGAGCCAAGAAGGATGGTGCCGCTCTGTTGGGCTGGAAGCACCCTTGGGACCACTGATCCGATTACAATCGTCGATTTCGTTTTTCTTGCGCAACCGCTTCGTCTCTCAGGGCAGCGGTGATTGTTGGGCTGCATTGCGTACTATGTACTTGGAGTGGGAAAAGAGGAACAGAGAGCCGGGTGTTGCCGAGGCGCATGTCGAAAGCCACAAGTGTCAGGTTCACGATAGCCATTTACCAGCCGAATTGTATCATACCCTTTCCTTTTCAATTTTCTAAAATGGTAATTTTGGCCCGAGTGGCCGAGGCGGAGCCTCAGTAGACGAATAACTGGGTCATAATATCCAAAACTATGGCAATCTACAGGTCTACGTGTATTTGATAGCGTACAATGTGAGTGCTTTGATAGCGTACTTCACAAGCGCAGTGCCTCCAATAGCACTTTGTACATCTTGCGCTTCTTGCGGTAGTGTGGCTGCAAGCGGGCGCGAGCCTGCCCAAGCATCTGTGCCACACGTGGGAATACGTTCTTCTCTGCGGTCCAGGAGAGAATGAAGACCCCGAATGCCAGCGCAATTAACCAGAATTTGAAAGCATCAGACATGAAAGTCAGTTGCATCACCTCCGTCACCCAGTCGGATGGTCTGAAGAGCATGTAGCCCGAAATCAGGATATTGACGATGATTGTACATAAGTACGGCACTAAATAGCCACGGTCAGTATCTAGATAAGCAAGAAAGCGTAGTGCGCAGTGCGATTCTTACCATTCTGAGTCATTGGTTTCCGGAATGGTGGACCCGCACTCAGAACAATGCTGATGAAGATGTACTGGAAACATGAGAACAAGAACAAAGCCGTATTCTCCGAGTTGACAATGTTGCTCTTTTCCAGGTCCAGTTGTGGCGGCAAAAACCTGAACCGTTTGTTAGGATGATGTTGATGGTATGTTGTGACGGTTACTCACCATGGCTGTAATTGAACAGTCTTGAAGACTGCAAACTGCGACAGCACAACTAGTAAGATCTGCCCGAGCAAAGGTGTCAATACCTTGCGCGAGACAAGATCAGCAGTTGGCCGTTTCCGAGACAGCGTAGGAGAAGGATCAGCCCAGCCCACTAGAAGAGAATTAGCTCGATCTACTCAAATTTAGCAGATATAGACCACTCACTGAAGACCGCAATTGGCATAATGAGAAGAAGGTCGATAAAAAGAAACTTAAAACCGTTAGCAATCTATCGAAACTTTGATAATATAGCCAGCCCACTTACCTGGAAATCACCAAGATTCGACCCTGACGTATATAGGAAGCTGACCGAGCAGAACTGAATGGCGGAATAAAGACTCATGAACTTGAAACAGGAGAAGCTTGTAACCAAAGCAGCTCGACCCTCCCTGATCACCGTCGGAACACAGGAGATTTCGAACAAGCGGCTAGTAAAGGGCGCAGCAACGGACGCCTCGGCGTCTGACAATGAGATACCAACATCTGCAGCCTTCAGAGCGCCGCAATCATTGGCACCATCGCCGCAAAAGCCACAGCAGTAATCAATAGATTGAAGTTTCTCAACGAGTTCGTGCTTCTCGTCTGGGGACATACGGGCAAACACTTTGCCGCACACAAGGACCTATACAGCACACATTAGTTTGTGACATGGTAAAAATACGGACATAGTACAACGGCCGCTTACCTTGTTGAGTACATCTTCATTCCCGAAGTCGATCAACCACCTAAACGCATCACCAGTGACGGCGACGGAGTATTCACGCTCGACGAGAGTGTTTCCTGGGATTGACAAGTCGGTCTCCGTAGTGTTCATGGGCTAGAATTTCATTAGCTGCTAGTAATTGAATGTAGGGGAAAGATATCTTACCAAGAGTGTTCTCGGGTCCAGCTGAAGGTCGGGATTGTCCACACATTCCCATATGAGAGAAGTTTTGGACGAAAGACCAGGCGCTGTGCATCATTAGTTCTGAATTATGACTCGGATGCGGTAAACAAACCTTCAATAAAGTGCGGGATAAAACATGGTTCATCGCGTCCAAGCATGTTGCATTCACGGGCAACACTGATAGCAGTCAAGATATTATCACCGGTGCACATTACATTGCGAATTCCCGCCTCGTTCAACTCGGAAATCACACCGGCAGTGCTGGGTTTCAACTTATTCTCAAAGATGATGAAGCCCAGGAATTCCAGGTTAGATTCGGCATCTGCCCGCGACATTTTTTGGACTTTCATCCAGCTCAACTTTCGTTCATATTTGGAAGCGCAGGCAATCACACGGTATCCTTTGTGAGTATAGTAATTCAGGAGATCCTCGTAATCCGAAGGAACTGTAAAATAATTATATTAGCAACGTAAGCTTATGTAAAAAAAGAGAGAGCACTTACGTGTTCCGGGAATACATATGTCTTTGATGCTTTCTGGGGCACCCTTGACAAAGAAACTTGCTCCATTGTCACCAAACTTCCTGACGACGACACTTGCGCGGCGAAGATTGGAGACAAATTCGAAACTCCGGAGTACTCCAAGCTCAAGGGGGTTCTGGATATTGTTAGATACGAAGCTATGGCTTGAATAAGATCAACTCACATTTATATCCTGTTCGTCGCTGGTCTGACGTTGAGGGGGCTTTGCAACCGACGGAGCTATCGTATCGTATTTGGGGCTTGTCTGGTCGGAAACATGATGTCCTCCCTCCTCAAACGTCCAGTTGGTAAATTGAAACATCTTCACATCGAGAGGATCTCCCAACAGCTCATCGTCCACTACCCTGAGGGAATGACACGTCGCCATGGCGTACATGATCTTACTTTGCTTTTCGATGTCGTACGCGGAGTTAGCACTTGGGGAAGGACGAAGAACCCCATCAGATATCTCAGACAGCAACTCGGAAAACCTAAAAAGTTTTTTCAGCGCAAGCTTAAGGGTCATACTTGGAAACAGACGAACCTTTTGTCACGGGTAACTATACGCGCTCCGAGCACATCCAACCCATCTTCTGTGAGGGTTCCAGTTTTATCGAAACAAACAATGTCCAGCTTTCCTCCCACATTGACCCTAGTCTCATGTATTAGTCTCGATATTAAGGTATCATCCATTCGTCCACTCACTTCTGTGGGCTGATACAGAATATGTTCTGTTTTTTTAGCCGTGAAAGCGCAAAGTTGGTTCCAATGGTTAATGTGGCCGGGAGAGCTGGCGGAACAACAATCGTGATCAGATCGAGGGCTCGAATTATGATCAAATGCCAAGCGAGCTGTTTTTCGTTGGGTCAGCCGCCAGAATAACTTTGGAATCGTCTGTTGAAGCATTGACTTACACCCAATCGAACAAAGTTAATGAATGAAGCGATGAACCCGAGAAAAGCGACCATTCCCATCACGGCAATGTAACGGAACGAGTCCCGGTAGAATTTGAATCCAGAAGGCTTTGGGAAAAGCATTGATCGAACTAGAGCCCCCTTGGTTGTCAAGAAGCCAGTTCTCATGACAATTGCCAATGCTACTGCTTCATCGTCATCAACATTCTGGGGCCGTCTAGCCCGGATCACTTTGGTTCCGCTGAATAGGAAGTGTTTGGCAACATGGGGGTGGATAGAAGGGGTACTGAGATCGAGATATTTGAGGGCGTCATCGGTGAGTGGTGTTTTAGACACGGGGACGGATTCACCTATTAAAGTTAGATGTATGTAAATAATATCAAAGTTTTGGGTTTTGTACGAACCAGTGAGCATGCTCTCATTCACAATGCAGTCCCCTGACAGCAAGATGCAGTCACACGGGACCTGGTTAAGGGATGGGTCGGAAAATTCATACACATCACCAGGAGTCAGCTCTTGGGAGGAAACGGACCGCCCTGTAGATACGATCAGTTTACATCAGTAAGATGATACATTGAATGAACTCACAGAATCCATTTCTTAGAACCCGAACATCACACTCGAAGAGAGATATCTCCCTAAGCCGGCTCATAGTCTATCACAGCATTAGTTTTAGGGCTTGATGCATTTCTTCGGCTGAACTCACTGATTTCGTCTCTAGCACAGTCGTTGCTATACTGAAAAACGATATAAGAAAAATACAGACGGCGTAGTAGTAGTATTCATCCATGGACCACAAAACGAGACTTGCAATTTGGAAGATATAAAATGGATGGAAGGCCTATACACTGTCAGATATATTGATGAAACAACCGGGAGGAAAACCGACCTCGTCGACGAGAAGCTGAGGAATTGTCTTTTGGAGAATTTCGATGGCGTTACTTCCAAATATCTGTTCCCTGCTGTCTCGTTCGTCGGCATCCAATCCACTTCGCATGACCTTGGCATTGGTCCACGATGGATCTTTCCAGCCATTTATCAGAGAAAATTTATCCTCGATCGGATGATAGAAGAACTTCAGGTATCGATAATCGATGAAGTGTAGAGAGACAATAGTTGGATCGTTATCTTCATCGTATGAGTGATTGAATGAGTCGGCGAAGACCGTGGAAAGCGGACGTCCATAGGGTTGGCTGCCAACTTCATGGATGGTGAATTGATTCCATTGGTCCTATCATGAGTTAGACGGTTATTGTATGGGATAGAAAGTTCACAATCTCACCTCTATAGCCACCCATTGACATTTCCCTATCGGGGTTGCCTTTCCGATCAGCTTTACCCGCCATCGTGGCAGCCATCGGAAGAGAAGCCAGGCGAATCCACCGGTCAAGATGCAAAGGGCGATATAGACAGCAAACCCTCCCGAACTCGTGGAAAAGCCAGCAAAAACAGCCGTCAAATCCTCCGACGCAATATACACTTTTTGATTCAACCGACTACCGGTTCGTCGGTCTCGGCCATATGAGCTGGCGGACATGTAGCGAGAAAGAAGTGGATGTTCAACCGAGTCGCGAGTGGTAGACATCCGCTTAGACACAAAAGAGCCCCTGGTTGACTCGAGATCTGTATCCTCGATGCCATGTAGAGATTCTTCATCAATCTCGCTTTGATCGTCCACCGCATCTTCGTTCGACCATTCTGCGAAGTCTTCCCCGTCCTGAAAGTATGTAAAGCTCACCGTAGAGTCTGCTCGAGCACGGCGGTGCGCGAATGACACAACGCTGGATGGAATGCTTTCCGAGATTGGGCCATCGAAGACCTAGTGCGAGTCAACTCCTGCGCCGAAGCCTGCATATGAGAATAAAGATTTGACATACCTCATTACGGGCCATCTCTACATCCGACACGACGCTCATGCTAGAGAAGTATCAGCATGGGATTCAATGGTCAGGGTAGATAGGGAGGGAGTGTAGCAACCTGCTTCTCATGGAATCGCGTCGCAGTCCATGTCGAGGCATGGATAGGTCCACGGGACCAGTCCCCGAGGGAGACTGCGGACGGCTTCCCATGTTTAAGAGAGAGGTCAGCTCGGTCGATTCCCCAACAGCCTCTCTAAATGTCTTATTATGGGGCTTGAGTAAAGTTGTGTTTCACCGACACAGGATTGAAGGGAGAGCATTTACCGCGGAGCGCAAGTTCCCACAAAAGCAGTGTAACCGGGAGCTTATCAGTGTCCCACAGCGGAGAGCGACTTATCACCATGTGACTACCCAATATAGCTTTGGATTATATAATTATATCGGACCAAACTTCCAAGGTTGGAAATTCCCCCATGCAGAGAAATCCATATAAAGTTGCATGTAATAATAGCTTCTAGTACGGAGTATGTGCTATTGTATTATATTCTGACGGGGGTTCCATAACAATCTAGAAGACTAGATGAGTCTTGGCATCTTATTTCTTGGCTTTAACAGGCATATCATTGGCCACTCAATCATCTACGGGGGTTCGATCTGAGATACGGGAAGATCTACATGGATCCAAGGCCCTGAAGACTCTCAATTCCTGCATTTACCCAACTGACTAATTAGAGATACTAGTTACAACATTTGCACCGCTAACAAAGTACTATACATCATCAAAGGTTAGTTATACGCTTATACATAAAGTCTCTGGCACAAAATATATGTTTTACCCCCTCTGTATACACCTAAAATGGTAACAAAACTGACATCCAAAAATGACTTTGAAAATAAGTACCAAAACGACATCCTCAGGTGGTATAAGCCGGCTTATCGTTGTCCTGGCTACAATGTAAATCCTGAACGTCATCAAATAGCATGCAAAACAAGCAAAACACGTAATCGTCTACGGGTATAAAAAATACCTAGATTCTATAAATATATATTTCCTTCTATCCGGGGGCGAATTTCATTCTACAACATTTTTCTTTCCAAAAAAGTCAGACAAGAGCCACCTATATCAAAAGACAAAAGAGTCAATAATCACAAGTTTTATAGGGAATATAATTCTTCCATTCCTTAGCAGATTGGAATTGGAGAGAGGGGTAATGGTCCAGGGCGCCACCGGGAGCGATCAGATTGAAAACGGGTACAGAAAGCAAGACAACCAAGATATTTGGGGCATCAAGAACATGAAGATATAAGAAATACAGAACAAAGATAAAACCAATAAAAAACAGGTCAAAAATAGAAAGCATCCGACAAATCAAGAGTGGTATTAAAAAGGTATTGTTGGGATAATTTGCAGCTTTTGCAGGCTCAACCAGAACTGTCCCGCCAAGCCCCTCGGCCACAGGGCGCTAAGGATCCCACCATCTTCCAGACTCTCCCCCAAAACTAAACGGCGTATCAAATTCTTCCTTCTTTCTCTCTCCTCACCTCATTCTCTTCCCCCCCGCCCCTTTTCACTATCCATTTATCATGTCTGAGCCCATCAGAAACAAGAAGGCGGACTTCCCGGTCGCACCGTAAGGACCCCTGTTTTAATTTTTTTTAATTTTAATTTTTTTTCATTATCAAAAGCAAAAAAATATATACTGACTTGCAGAAGGACCCCGCAAAACACACCGGCCAACAATGCTCCTATCTCATCTCACGCTCAGCAGCCTGGTGTATCCAGCATCGAGGAGGGTAAGTCGTCTGTTTTCTTGTTTTCACCGACATCTCTTTGACCGTGGTTTCCTTTCTTCTAGAATCCCTCGACAAAGCCGCCGCTGCCTCGCTCTTCGCCCGCAACCCTGCTCTGGTCTCCATGATCCAGGGCAAGTTGGGTCAACTTGTCGGTCGCTCATCAGGCTACATCGAATCTCTCCCCCCTCCGTCCGCCGCCGTGTCGCTGGTCTGAAGGGTATCCAGAAGGAGCACTCCAAGCTCGAGGCTCAGTTCCAAGAGGAGGTCTTGGAACTTGAGAAGAAGTACTTCGGCAAGTTCACGCCTCTGTACGAGCGTCGTTCTACTATCATCAACGGCGGTATTGAGCCGACCGAGGCCGAAATTGAGGCCGGAAAGGAGAATGAAGAGAGTGATGAGGAGGAGGAGGAGACCAAGGAGGAGCCTAAGAAGGAGGAGGGTGAGGCCGCGAACGGCATCCCCGAGTTCTGGCTTTCTGCCATGAAGAACCAGATCTCGCTTGCTGAGATGATTACCGATCGCGACGAGGAGGCTCTCAAGCACCTCACCGACATTCGCATGGAGTACCTTGACCGACCCGGATTCCGCCTCATTTTCGAGTTCTCCGAGAACGAGTTCTTCACCAACAAAACTATCTCCAAGTCATACTTCTACAAGGATGAGAGTGGATACGGTGGCGATTTCATTTACGATCACGCCGATGGATCCCAGATTGACTGGAAGGAGGACAAAGACCTGACCCTCCGCCTGGAGAGTAAGAAGCAGCGTAACAAGAGTAAGTGCACTTGGAATATTGGTATACTACGTTGAAACTGACAATTTCCCCTCTTTTAGCCACCAAGCAGACCCGCGTTGTTAAGATCAGTGTGCCTACCGAGTCCTTCTTCAACTTCTTCTCGCCCCCACAGCCACCCGCCGAGGATGACTCAGTCGCCAGCGACATTGAGGAGCGTCTGGAGCTTGATTACCAGCTCGGTGAGGATATCAAGGAGAAGCTCATCCCCCGTGCCATCGACTGGTTCACCGGTGAAGCCCTCCAGTTCGAGGAGCTTGGTGAGGATTTGGATGGTGATGATTTTGAGGATGACGATGACGAAGATGAGGACGAGGATGAGGACGAGGAGGATCTCGGGTCGGACCGTGATGTGGACGAGGAGGACACAGATGAAGAGGTATGACATACAACACTCACCGATTTAGATCAGCCTGCTAACTTCATCCCAGGATGGTACTTCCAAGCCCAAGAAGGAGGCCGCCGAGTGCAAGCAAAACTAAACGAAAAAAGTTGCCGGTGGTGAATGCCCAACATGAGACTATTCGTACTCTCTGATATTTTGCTTTGCTTTCTGCCTTTTTTTTGTGTCCCCCCTGCGTCACCTCTCTTATCTTCTAATACTCAATCAATACTTGACATAATCGGTGTGTAATTTTCGCATTCAGCTGTAAGGTCTTGCACTCATAGCCGAGACACTTGAAGTGTCTTAATAAAGTGCGAGTAGTCTATGGACATGTGACTAATTTAGTATCTACCTAGTTAGGTATGTATACTTGGTAACTATTCATACCGGAGACATACATATGTACCTCTATGCACCATATTTTAGGCCGATACGAACTTCCCGATCGGGGTGCCGCCGCTTTATGGGGGCGCTCAGTATTTCACAGTATAGGGTGATTGCTTAGCATCCTTATCTTACCGCCCCAGAATAAAGGCTGATAATGTCACGTGACAAGTGGATCACTTTTCACCCATCTATTCCGCGCTAGCAACTAAAACCCTTTTAAACAATCCATATTTTTTATCGATTGTCCCTATAGTTATTAGGAAGTGTATTTTCTAAGATAGCTGCTAGAAGACGATAACGTACCAAATAGATGGCTAGAATGATTTCCTCGAGGTATCTAATATCTAATCGAGCTATAAATACAGCGATACTGATGATGTATTGTTGGTCCTACTAGAGGCCCGTACAGTTAGGTGATATCACCTGACCGACGGTGACAACGACATCATTATCGTAAAGGCCTCCCAGACCAATTTTGCAATCTCCTCAATTTCTTCACTTCCTATGATCAAATCACCTTCTCTGGGGGGGGATTGTGGAGGCCGTAGGAACAGACGATCGAAAGGGATAGTCAGTGGAGCTCCAGAGACACTAACTTTATCACCATGTCGTTTTCCCGTATCTCGATGTGTTGGGACAGTTGGGCTTGCCCATTTGTGTGGTCCCACTCGTACTTATCTATGGTGATAAGCGGTCGGGTTTAAGCCATAATTCAATGTAACCTTCTTCTGGTTTGCGAGATCGCGACTTCCACAACCACCGTCGGCCGCTTTCCGGCCGTATACATGTAATGGAGGTGGGGTTGGAGATTATGGCACATAATCGCCTAGTATAGACGAGGGAGGTCATCTCTGCAAGTTTGCAGATCTCCTCGATCCTCGATTCCTGGAGGAAGTCCTCCAGCACGGCCAGTCTTCGGGCCGGTACCAGGAGAGGGGGCGGTCTGGGGCCCAATCCCTAGTCTGGCTGTTTTGGTATGCCATTGACATTGCCATTGATGTTCACTTCACTATAGGAAAAGGTTTCCTAGTCAAGCCCCATCGGTGCAAGTGCAATGTCAATGGCATGATCAAAATCCTGAACCACTTGCTGATGTTCATGGGTGACCATTTTGGCGATCAAAGTGTTTGCTTGGGGGTTGAAAGTACAACGGATGCCACGAATACCACGGAGATCCGTGTCAGGATCAACGAATTCGTTTTGGAAGGTGCGCTCATGATATCCTGACGGGTATCTGAGCGGACCTATCTCGCACCATCTGAATTGAATCTGAATTGCATCTGAATTGAATCTGAAGTGAATTTGAAGAAATTTGGCAGATCACTTAGCCGCTAGTTTAGGGGAGGTCTTGGGGACGTAGACAAGCCGATAGGTTTTAGGAAGTCTTTTACTGTCTTGTTCGGCGCAATTGGTATGTCGATGGATTTCAGGGCTCTCTGGTGCGGCCCTTGGTAACTGATTGTTTTTACAATCAAGTGACTGTCCATATTCTGAGAATTGGGGATATTTCCGTGAACATCAATGCTAATCAAGATGCCGGTTGTCGAAGGAGGCGCATATGATGTAGCTTTCGTGACAGTATGCTTGAACGCGAGTGTAAGGACGACATGGTTCTTCTTCTTGTCATCGGCGCCATTAACAGTCTCGCCTTCATTCAAGAATTCAAGCGTACAGGCTGAAACTTGTTTTCTCAATAATCCCAAGGGAATTCTGTCGTGTTCATAAGATTGGGATCCTGTCACTACTAACGGGCCGGCCGTGAGTAGCTGGAAAGTGGATCCCGAGCGATGGACTCGAGTATTGGCCATCTATTCTTATTAGTATGAGTCGTTATATTGACCGAGAAACGTGATATAAAAGCTGCTTACCTTGCCTTTGTATTCTGCTGTTACTTAGAAGAAAAGAACTTCATTTCTACAGGATACAACACTATTTTATATCCGAAAAAGTCTCCAAATGCAATTTAACGGGAGTGCTATTAAACTCGACCTTTTCTATTGGATTGAATGTCAATTGATGAATTTATTCATAGTTTCATTCAATTAGAGAGTTATTACCTTCGGCCTTTTTCCTTAGAATAAATGACAATCGATGAATTCACTCAATCAATCAATCAATGACTTATTTCTCCGCCGCTCGCTTACCGAATACGTTAACTACCTACCTAGGTAGACATAGTTAGTTTGAAATGGCCACTAACAAATACAGTGAGTGGGCGATGAAGTCAGCTGACCGTGCAAAGGCAGGTTAAATATTTCTCCACTAAAAATCTGACGTTCTTCGCGTTGGAATGCATAGGAACTTTTCCAGATAGATACAGAATCCTTTGGGACTTCTTTCCTTCTTTCGCAGAGGAACTTCACCTTGCCTTCCATGCGATGATCACAGCAGTCCACTGCGTATAACAGCTCCGCACCTCAGAATATCCATAAATCCCACAACACTTCCCCCCAGGACTTTATCAATGATAATGGGGTGTAGAGGGCTCTGGAACTTACACATCAATGGTTGGTGACGGTCCGTACTATATGACCTGCAAACACTAACATTCTCTCTTAGGGAAATGGTACCGCTTGTATCACCCTCGAGGGCGGATAAGTCCCCCTGACGATGAGTCGACATTACGAACAATCAAACATCTATGCGACAAGCCCGACAATCTTGCGGGATGGGAACCAGCCCCGTTTCCTAGCCCAATTCACTCGATTCTAGATTACATATACACTATCGATATAGATGCAGGTACTTTCACGATCTCATCATAGAGTGTGCTTGACGGATTATTGGCACCTTCAGCAGTACGGATGGATCTCGCCAAGATCCATAAGATATCTAGGATAAATCATCATATGATACGAAAAGCTGAATATATGTCGAGTGAATACATTTGTGAGAGCAATAAGGCACAAGCAAAGCAATTCGAGACGTTTGAAATGGAATATGGCATCCCTACACCTATAAACGAGCTACAGGGGCAATTCTTTACCGACCTCGTTTTTATCTAGCGCTTTTATATCGATGACCCTTCGATATGGAGATACAATTCTCCTATATTTAGGGTATTATGTGTTGCTTTCCTGCGTCTTGCAGCCTAGGATTTTGAGGTATCTTTCGAAGATTGCAACGTTGAGCTTCCAATCTCTTTCGCGTCCCTTCCCCTTTGGAGCTACCCCGACGCGGACGTCTATTAGTTTTATGGATATCTTGTTGTTTTATAGGATGACCTCGAATCCATAGCTATAATAAACGGAGCTGTCTCAAAAGCTAGATCATACATTGGCAACTCTCGGCTCACGTATAACGACGTTCGCTTAATTGTTATTTCACCACGATATCTCGTTTTCGTGGAGCTTTCTCGCGAGGTTGTTTTGGCCTCTAGGAGCCTAGTATTGCTTTCCAACTATTCAGCAACCCAATGTTCATCTAGATTCCGCGCTCTAGCCCGGGTTCTAACATCAAACTGCTAGAAGAAGCCTCGCGCCCATAGGGAGAAGTGGCGTATCAACGTGCCGCCTGAGATTGTTCAGATGATTCTTTATAAACTGGAACCACGAGATGCCGTAGCATTCTCGCAGGCATCCTTCGCTGCTGAGCAATGCTACTATACTTCAGAATCCCAGTTCAAGAACATTGACGTGCAAAGTTTTAAGTCCTCTATACCTTGCTGCGGCAAGCGCACTGGACTAGAGACGCACGGTATTTGTTGTTCTGAATGCCATGTTTGGCAACACCTGGAATGTGTCGGTCTAGAAAATGATTCTTCCGACTATCGGTACGTTTGTATGGGCTGCCATGGAAGAGCCCACATGGTACTTGATCCTGGCAGGGTAAATTGGTTCAGCCGTCGGAAAAGAAGGGAAGGATGTCAGGTTAAAGCTGAAGGTATTGTTAAATCACTTCAATTGCGACTCTCTAAACCTTCCCATTTACGACCAGAGCTACGATTCCTGGGAAATCTTGTCTCGGTTCCGCCTTCACTCATTCAGTACACAATCCTTTTCAACCGCTCCTTCTCTGGACTGGCCTATGGCTTGGAAGATAGTTCGTAACTGTGATCGTTAATAATTCAATTGCATTAAATGGGCCGGAAAATTGGTTTCCACTTCATCCCAGGCATGAAACCGAATTATATATATGTATCCCTTTAACCCCCAACCTCCTTTATACCATGCCTAGTTAATCCATTGAAACGTCTTTAACCTGCGGGCGGAGTATCATTTTGTGCCATTTCTCAGCATCCAATCAACTTCGACACTATCATTGCGCGCATGGAATGAGTTTCGCGGTTGGCGTTAGTTAGGAGGGCCTTACGGGGTAAGACGTGCGTCCTCCAGGTAGGTTTTGATGATACCCGCCGCTTGGCACGGGAGTAAATGTTGGAGGCGGGAGTTCATCTGGCTTATATAATTATCGGTGCAGTCGATGATTATATAATACGCAGGGGCGTGCTCAGTTTTACTCAGTGAGCAAAGAGCGGCAAGGGGGTGAGCACCAAAACGGAAAGGGAAAGCTATCTCGCTCGGCCTAAAATCTGGTGTATGTTGGTTGTATGTGCCTAGATGTATGTATATTAAATTAAATCAGTCTTAACTAAACATGACATCTTTTCTTTTCTTTTCTTTTCTTTTTTAAAAAAAAAGACATGAATCAAATAAAAAACAAAAACAAATAAATCATAAAATAAATACCTAATTATTAGAATACATACGGAGTACATGCAGTAAAAAATAATACAATGTCAATAGTAAACATAAGGTACACAATGCAGACCAAGTAGGATGGCGGTGACAGGTTGTGGGGTGTGGCGCCCCCCAGTATATTCCCTAAGCTCCTTCAGGGGCTCTCGCTAAATGGCCAGCTGTTAGTCTCATTCAAGGGTTTTCCTTCCACCTCCATCTATTTCTTATCTTCGATCTTTTTATTCTATTCTTTCGAAATATGAGATGAGGGGTTGAGAAGTCCCCCTTGTCTTTGGACTACCTGAATCGCATTTTCTCTTCGATGCCCTACCTCCGAAAACACTCATCCCCGGAGCTTCTGAAAATATCCCGCTTTTATTGCATCAAAAACGATTAACGACCTACATTCCCTATGGCGCACATCTATGAGGTCGGCACACGGGCCTGGCAGCCTGACCCGACAGAAGGATGGTTGGCGTCTGAGGTGAAGGAGAAGCTGGAGGATGGAGAGAAAGTGCAGCTGATCTTCGAGTTGGAAAATGGAGAGGTAGGTGCCTTGGAACCCAGGACGCTGGACCGCGCAATCCTGTATGTCTCTTAAGTTACTGAGGCTGACTGACACGGTTTTGATCGGGGCAGACAAGAACCGTGGAGACCACGCAGTCCGAGCTGCAGGTCGATAACAACCCTAAACTACCTCCGCTCATGAACCCTGCTATGCTTGAAGCAAGCGAAGATTTGACGAATTTGTCTCACTTGAACGAGCCCGCTGGTTTGTCTTACCCCTACATGTTTGGTGCCGCCCTCCCCAGCTGACGATCCTTTGAAGTCCTCCAGGCTATAAAACTCCGTTACGCTCAGAAGGAGATATATACCTACAGTGGCATCGTTTTGATCGCAACCAACCCATTTGCCCGAGTCGATTCGCTGTACGTGCCGCAGATGGTGCAGGTTTATGCTGGGAAACAACGTGCCTCGCAGGCGCCTCACCTGTTCGCAATCGCGGAGGAAGCTTTCGCGTAAGAATCGTCCACATTTTACATCTTTGAGGTTGGTTTCGCTTACACTTTTAATACAGTGACATGCTTCGCGATGGAAAGAATCAGACGATTGTGGTCTCTGGTGAATCTGGAGCCGGTAAGACCGTGAGCGCCAAATATATCATGCGCTACTTTGCAACTCGCGAGTCTACTGATCAACCCGGAAAATACACAACCAGCCGCGCCGAGGCAATCAGTGAAACCGAGGAGCAGATCCTAGCTACCAACCCGGTCATGGAAGCGTTCGGTAATGCCAAAACCACTCGCAACGACAATTCCTCCCGTTTCGGCAAATATATCGAGATCATGTTTGATGACCGAACGAATATCATCGGAGCTAAGATCAGGACGTATCTTCTTGAGCGGTCGCGACTTGTCTTCCAACCTCTCAAAGAGCGCAATTACCATATCTTCTACCAGCTGGTAGCCGGTGCTTCCGACGCAGAGAAACAGGAGCTGGGTCTCTTGGCTGTTGAAGACTTTGAATATCTGAACCAGGGTGGCACTCCGGTTATCGACGGTGTCGATGACAAGGCCGAATTTGAGGCGACCAGGAAGTCGCTGGCTGTGATTGGTGTGCCGAATGAAGATCAGACAGGCATCTTCCGTGTTCTAGCCGCTTTGCTACACCTCGGTAATGTCACGATCACAGCAACTCGCACGGATTCGTCAGTCTCGTCGACCGAGCCTGCACTTCTCCGCGCGTGTGAGATGCTTGGAATCGATGCTACTGAGTTTGCGAAATGGATCGTGAAGAAGCAACTTATCACGCGTGGCGAGAAAATCACCTCCAACCTGACACAGCAACAGGCTTTGGTTGTCCGAGACTCCGTCGCTAAGTTTATCTATTCAAGTCTATTTGATTGGCTAGTGGATAAGATCAACCGCCGCCTCGCTACCGATGAAGTGCTTGAGCAGTTCAAATGCTTCATTGGTGTTCTTGATATCTACGGGTTTGAACATTTCGCCAAGAACTCTTTCGAACAATTCTGCATCAATTATGCCAACGAGAAGTTGCAACAAGAATTCAACCAGCATGTGTTCAAGCTTGAGCAGGAAGAATATGTCCGAGAAGAGATTGACTGGACGTTCATCGACTTTTCGGACAACCAACCTTGTATCGATCTTATCGAAGCTAAGCTCGGCGTTCTGGCCCTTCTGGATGAAGAATCCCGGCTTCCTATGGGCTCGGATGAGCAGTTTGTCACCAAGCTTCATCATCACTTTGCGGCGGACAAGCAGAAGTTCTACAAGAAACCCCGCTTCGGGAAATCTGCATTCACCGTCTGTCACTATGCAGTCGACGTCACTTATGAATCTGATGGATTTATCGAAAAGAACCGTGACACTGTGCCCGATGAGCATTTGGAAGTGTTGCGCAATTCCTCCAATCCTTTCATCAAGGAGATTCTAGAGACTGCTGCGGCCGTTCGTGAGAAGGACTCTGCTGCTATGTCATCCAAGCCAGTTGCAGCCGCTCCAGGGCGTCGGATTGGAGTTGCAGTCAACCGGAAACCCACGCTTGGAGGAATATTCAAGTCCTCGTTGATTGAATTGATGCACACCATCAACAACACAGAAGTTCACTACATCCGTTGCATCAAGCCCAACGAGGCGAAGGAGGCTTGGAAATTCGAAGGTCCCATGGTTCTCAGTCAGCTGAGAGCCTGTGGTGTCCTGGAAACTGTCCGAATCAGTACCGCTGGCTACCCAACCCGATGGACTTATGAGGAATTTGCCGTTCGATACTACATGTTGTGCCATTCCTCGCAATGGACCTCGGAGATTCGGGATATGTGCCATGCAATCCTCCGAAAGGCCCTGGGAGATGAAAAGCAAGACAAGTATCAACTGGGTCTTACTAAGATCTTCTTCCGAGCTGGTATGCTTGCATTCCTGGAGAATCTCCGGACGTCCAGGTTGAATGAATGTGCCATCATGATCCAGAAGAACTTGCGTGCCAAGTATTACCGCCGCCGCTACCTCGATGCTCGTGACTCGATTCTCACCACTCAGGCCTTCATTCGGGGTTTCTTGGCACGCCAGCATGCCCATGAGATTCGCCGGACCAAGGCTGCTACTACGATCCAGCGGGTCTGGCGTGGCCAGAAGGAGAAGAAACGTTACACCCAAATCCGCAAAAACTTCATCCTGTTCGAGTCTGTTGCCAAGGGATTCCTGTGCCGACGCAACATCATGGACTCTATCAATGGAAATGCGGCCAAGGTCATCCAACGTGCATTCCGCTCCTGGCGTCAACTCCGGGCCTGGAGACAGTATCGCCGTCAGGTCATCACTATCCAAAACCTCTGGAGAGGAAAAGAGGCAAGAAATTCCTATAAGCGACTTCGCGAGGATGCCCGTGATCTCAAGCAGATTTCCTACAAGTTGGAGAATAAGGTGGTCGAGTTGACCCAGTACTTGCAATCTCTCAAGCTTGAGAATAAAACCTTGGTTTCACAGCTGGACAACTATGATGCCCAATTGAAGTCATGGAGAACCCGACACAATGCCTTGGAGGCTCGCACGAAAGAACTCCAGGCTGAAGCGAACCAGGCTGGTATCACCGCAGCCCGGTTAGAGGCGATTGAAGAGGAGATGAGTAAGCTGCAGCAAAGCCACACTGAAGCACAGGCTACCATCAAGCGCCTCCAAGAAGAGGAGAGAATCTCCCGTGAGGCTCTTCAAACCGCCAACAAGGAATTGGAGCGTTTCAAGCTTGTGGATGCCGAATATGAGAAAGATAAGACTGGTCTCCGGCAGCGGATCTCCGATCTCGAGGAACAGCTTGAGGTTGCCAAGAGATCTGTACCTTTAAACGCTGTGAACGGCGACGGTCTACCCAACGGGGGCGCAGTCCAGGCCCCTCCACCGGGCTTGATCAATCTGGTGTCCTCAAAGAAACCTAAGCCCAAGAGGCGCAGTGCCGGTGCTGAAAGGATCGAGACGGATCGCTTCAGTGGTGCGTACAACCCTCGGCCTGTTTCGATGGCGGTCACCCCTGCATCTATGGCTGCCCGTCAAAATGCGGCCATCTCTCCTGGCCTAGAGTCGGTCGAGATGGAGCTAGAGAACTTGCTTGCTGAAGAGGAAGACTTGAACGAGGAGGTCGCCATGGGTCTTATCCGCAACTTGAAGATTCCGCTCCCAACCTCGACACCACCACCGACTGAAAAAGAGGTCCTGTTCCCAGCATACCTGATCAACCTTGTTACGTCGGAGATGTGGAACAACGGATTTGTTAAGGAGTCGGAGCGATTCTTGGCCAACGTGATGCAATCCATCCAGCAAGAGGTTATGCAGCATGATGGGGACGACGCGATCAACCCCGGTGCCTTCTGGTTATCTAACGTGCACGAGATGCTATCCTTTGTCTTCCTGGCCGAGGATTGGTATGAAGCACAGAAGACCGAGAACTATGAGTATGACCGCCTGTTGGAAATTGTCAAGCACGACCTTGAGAGCTTGGAATTCAACATCTATCACACTTGGATGAAGGTTTTGAAGAAGAAGTTGTACAAGATGATCGTTCCAGCCATCATCGAGTCTCAATCACTTCCCGGCTTTGTCACGAGTGAAACGAATCGCTTCCTTGGAAAGCTTCTGCCCTCCAACAATAACCCAGCTTACAGCATGGACAACCTCCTCAGTCTATTGAATGGTGTTTACAAGGCAATGAAGGCCTTCTATCTTGAGGACGCCATCGTTCTCCAGACCGTCACGGAGCTCTTGCGCCTGGTTGGTGTCACTGCTTTCAACGATCTCCTCATGCGACGTAACTTCCTGTCGTGGAAGCGTGGTCTGCAAATCAACTACAACATCACTCGTATTGAGGAGTGGTGCAAGAGTCATGATATGCCAGAGGGGACGTTGAAGCTCGAGCATTTGATGGTAAGGGCCCTTGTTTGATATTCATTGGGTCATTATACTAACAACCTACACAGCAAGCGACCAAGCTTCTACAACTGAAGAAGGCTACTCTGAACGATATTGAGATCATTCAAGATATTTGCTGGATGTAAGTGAACCCTGGAAGTATCTTCTCCCACGAGCTCACAAAACTAATTATGTGTAGGCTGTCTCCGAACCAAATCCAGAAACTTCTGAACCAGTACCTGGTGGCAGATTACGAACAGCCCATCAACGGCGAGATCATGAAGGCCGTCGCTTCTCGCGTCACAGAGAAGAGCGATGTTCTCCTCTTGGCTCCGGTAGACATGGAGGACAGCGGCCCGTACGAGATCGCCGAGCCGCGTGTTATCACCGCTCTGGAGACCTATACCCCATCCTGGCTCCAAACACCGCGGTTGAAACGACTTGCTGAGATTGTGTCCGCGCAAGCGATGGCACAGCAAGAGAAGTTTGAATGGGATCACAAGATGCTTGAGGAATAGATCTGTACTGTTGTATATTAGACTTTGGGAATTTCCTGTGAGCTACGGATTACGACTTGCCTGGATTATCCACGGCCTTTGCGATACAGTGATGCGCATGATTTTCATTTGTTTCAATTGCATATGACGTCTTGACTTATAGACCAGAAGAGATTGCTAAGGGAGTTCCTGTAAATGATTTTTCTAAGACAAACGAGCAATCCAATGTCCAAATCGGCTTTTTTTTTTTTCCAAAGTAGGCCAGTCAGAGGTCATTTGCATGTTCACCGTATAGTCAAGAGTTTAGCAGGATAAACAATATTCTGTGGAAAGAGATATTCCCATCTGTGGATGCTAACTACCGTTGGAGCACAGCATCTGTTGATATATGCGGTCAGCGGTAGCGCAGTGGGGTTCCCACACTCTTAATCTTCAACTTCACAACCCCAACCGCATACCAAATACCAACCAATACCTACCTATCTATCTATACAGCCAAAATGACTCTCACTAAGCTTAACTTCATCACCGGCAACAAAAACAAGCTCCTCGAGGTACGGGCCATCCTCGGTAAGGTCATCGAAGTGGAAAACCAGGAGGTCGACGTCCCCGAGATCCAAGGCACAATCGAGGAAATCGCCAAAGAGAAGGCCAGACGTGCCGCCGAAGCGGTAATTTCATCTTGTATCTGTTCTGCTATAATTATATCTGCTTACGAAGGGAATAGATCCATGGACCTGCCTTGACCGAGGACACTGCGCTGGAGTTCCATGCGCTTAAGGGCCTCCCTGGACCATACATGTATGTCTTTGCTATATTAAAGGGTTACTTTGTGACAATGATACTAATGATTGTCAAAAGCAAATCTTTCATGGAGAATCTGGGGCACGAGGGCTTGAACAAGATGCTCGATGGCTTCGAGGACAGGACTGCTGAAGCTGTGTGTACCTTTGCCTTCTGTCGAGGCCCTGGCGAAGAGCCCATTATTTTCCAGGGGAGAACAGAGGTGAGGCAAATACTGTCACTTCAAAATCTATATAAATCTAATTGTGATGTACAGGGTGCTATTGTGCGACCCAGAGGCCCAGGACAGTTTGGTAAGTGAACAATCCAAACTGGGCTTTGCAGAGAATCAAAATCTGATATATGACAGGCTGGGACGCTATCTTCGAATATGATGGCAAGGAGACATATGCCGAGATGGACAAGGAGGAGAAGGTAAGAACGATCTTGTTTCCCGTTGGAAAAGTCATGTACTAAGAGTCCCGCGAACAGAACAAGGTTTCGCACCGGTACAAGGCGCTGGTGAAGTTGCAGCAGTGGCTAGCCGAAGGCCAACAGTAAATCGCCATGGGTATATAACTCGGCCTCGCAAAAGACCATAGAAGAATGAGAAACGAAGATCAAAAATTGTATATGGCCCGACGAATTCCCTCAATCCGCATTCTCCGCGTGCGACTGCTTCCATGAATCGACCCATTGTGCGATTCTCTGGCAGTTTGAGTCCACATCTGAATCCTGCTCGCTGTTCAATTCTACCACGATCTCCTCGTCGAATGCCTCCCGTGCTTCGTCTGATAGGACACCGAAGATTTCTGCGTCGACGTTCTCTTCTAGCTTTTTCTCGTGGTAGCCCCTTGGAATTATTATGTTAGTTTTGACGGCGTAGATAGTTTTGCGAGGTTGATCGTCATACCGTGAGGAAAGGCGGTCGTATAGAACATCTGTAGTGGGGCAGCGGAGGACAACGACGAGATCGATCCAGGACTTGGGGAAAAGATCGCAGGCATGCCAGTCGATTAAGTAGCCGCCATTGGGAATTTCGTCTTCGAGGGCATCGAGGAGCTGTGTCGCGCATGGATTAGCATGTGAACTTTTTGAGTCTTAAACCATGGTGGAAAGAGTAGCATTAGGCGAAGAAACTGTGGGAAACATTCTCACCTTATCCTCGTCAACCACCCAGGTCTTCAATTCCTCGTCATATTCATCGAAACATCCACGGTCCTTTGCGGCCTGGTTAATGGACAGGTGCTTCAGGCCGATCTCTTGCGCGAGTTGTTCGCAGTGGACGGTCTTTCCCACGCCGGGAGTGCCGGTGATGATGATATTTGGAGAGGTGCGCATATTTAGTTATAAGGATCGAGATCTTGAAGTGGAATAGTAAATTGTAGATTGTAGATTGTAGATTGTAGATTGAAAATGCCCAGGTGGTTTCCCCAGATGAAATAATTCCATCGGACTAATTTTCGTCCCGGCTATCTTATCGTGGAGGGGTAAATTACCGCATTGGGAATGTATAAAAGCCATTTATAGTAACTTCGCTTTGGTTTTATTCATAATACAAAGACTATGCAATGTTAACGGAATCGAATTGATTTCATGTGGCTTCATGTTTCGGGCTGGTTATACGTAGCCTAGTACTGATTAGCACATTAGAATATCTAAAAATTGAACAATCACTCACTTGAGAAGCTCGAATATCTTGTACTTTTGCAGATAAGGCGTACCCCTACGATATGCTTTGAGAAGTCGAGTGGGATCTGAAGGCTTGACAAACGCTCCGATCAGACGCTCCATTGCCGGGGATGTCTTGAACATGGGATCGAATACTAGCAGATTTGCGCTGCCGTTGGCTCGTATTTCAAACCCCACAATTGTCATAGAATGGCCTGGTTCAAGTTAGATATATATGTGTGTGTGCTAAAAGACTTAAAAAAAACTATACCTTGATGCTGGAAGTATATCGGAGGGAGATCAGTCTGGACGATCTTTGACTCGTCTTCTGGTGAGCACGCTGATCGGAAATAGTCGGCGACGTCGATGTAAAGAGCATCACAGGCCCGTAAATCGTTTCTCTCTGCCAGACTCCTGGCTTCACATCTGGAGACCGGAGTTAGCGGGGTTAAAACGAAGCAGGCCAGATAACTTACGGAATTCCTAGGCTCATGAAAAGTGCTTGTGCCTAGGTATTCGTTAGCATATAGAAGATAATCGATACCGACCAGAAGACTTACTTCAGGCGTTCCAATAAACTTGCGGGTATCTTTGATACCACCTGTCTCGGCTCTTCCAGAACTATTGAACCCCATATCCCAGGCTGACTCAATCATATCCTGCAGCTCAAGGATCGTCGGCCCTTTATTTGGGAAGTGCTCATGACCAAAGCCACCGGCCTTTTTCAGCCAAGAGACCATCATTTGGATATTGCGATAGCCACAAAACCCACCTTCCCGACGCATCTTGCAGATATGACGGACTTTGGGGCTACAGAAGAATGCCCGTTGGACGGATTTGTCCTGTTCACACAGCCGAGCAATAACAGGAATCAGATGGTCGGTCTCGTTTTCTACTGTCTCGCGACGTGTGAATTTGCCATCCGATGTGATTTGCGTCTGCTTTGACATGCTGCCCCCCTTTTCCAGCATCTTCTTCAGCCATGATGGCATTTTCTTCTCGTGGGCATGAGGACCCAACTCCGAGCGCTGAAAATTGTTAGTACTTCTTTCTGAATATTCAAATTTTGGACAAATACCCCTAGTCTCTTTGTACCATCGGCATTGGTTGTCCTTGGGGGACTGTGAGGTCGTGGTGGCTTGGCTGTGTTTACTCGCGAGGAATCTCGTTGCATCCCACGCTTTCCTCCTTTGTGAGAGTCCAACATGTCGAGGGGGTCTTCATCATCAAAGGACTCATCATACCCATGGCCATGTAGTACGTCTGGAGTTGATCGTGCCGATGTGGCTCCGATATCATCCAGCGCCATGTCCTCTGCAACATGCAGATCTAGGTGACTCGAGAGCTCGGCAATTTCTATTGTCTCTCCACATCCATGCGGACAGTCGAGATATTTTTCTGCACCATCCTCGTCCACTGGCGGTGGAGCTAAGCTTTGAGTTGCAAATTCCTGCGGGTTGTCCTGCAGGAAGCCCGTTTCCCCGGTTTCTGGGTGGCAGAATTCGATGTGTTGGGACACAAAATTAGCATCGGAATCTGTGAAGGGGCAAAAAGGGCATGAGGCGGTGTTGTGGTCGGCCATTATGGAGTTTTCATCCAGTGCTGACGCTGGTGGGGAAAGTGTGAAGTTGATGCTTATCAGACCCCACCTGAGAGATGAGAGCCAGATGAATATGTACAAAGTGCAGAGAAAAAAAAAAAAAGCAAAGCCAGTCGATCGAATAACAGAGGTAGAGACAGGAGTATAGAGACAGGATTAACTTGATGCCTAAACGAGCAGAACAGTGCCCGTTTCCCGAGACCCACCTACGGCAGGGCTTAGCGTCCAATTTGTAAATATCATCTTATTAACTATGTATGTCCATACATAACTGAATGAATCATCTAATTATTATGTTGTCCAAAAAGTCATGTCGTCGTAAATATATGGGATTTTCAGATTTCACATCATCATCCTACTCTAGCTATAGATAGAGACGTGGTGTGCTCGGCTCAATGACAACCTCCGAAGTAGCTCTCCTCTCGTTCCAATACCAGAAGTTTATCACTATATTAGCTTTCAATAGCAGACATTGGTTCAATCAAAACCTTTGAAAGTCGGACGGCATTCAACACTTGGTCACTGCGGGCTGTTCAACCTAAGAGATAAGATCCGTTAGTTCTCCATAATATTATAGAGGAATAATTACTACTTACTGTTGTTGTTTATTAGCTTCCGAGTCGCTCTGAGTTAATGGTGTCGTTTAAACGCTACCTCCAACTCCGTCGGCTAGTATCTCTGTTCAGCTGGCGAGAGCAAGCGGCTTAAGAACATGACTGGTTCCACCACGTTTGCTGGCGGGGGTTTCTTCAGGTCGTGATGTGTCCATTCGGCTTTAACATGGAAAATCATGGCACTATGCTCCTCGTCCTTAGAGCTGTCTATTTCGGCGTAAAGTTGCCTTGTGTGGTCAAAAAGACTGTCATATGCGTCATGCTTTGACGCATCGCCGTTTGCAAACTTTTGAAGCTGGCTTTTTCGACTACTATCGGATTCTCTAGGTTGGTGTGTCTTGCGAACCTCTTGCGTTGGTTTCCTTTCCTTGGTCCTAGCTTCAACAAGGCGATCTTGCGGTCGTGCATTGCCTTCGCAAGCTGTGCGTGTCGTCATATCTTAATACGAAAATATCCGACGAGACCAAGGTAAGTTTCAAGCCGTTTGAGGGTCTTTGGGAACTCCAAGCTAAGAACTACATGTAGCTTTTCTTCCATGGTTGTCATGCCAAGGGAGTCCACACGCTGCCCGAGAAGTGTAACCGTAAAGCGAAGACGTTTCAGGTTAACAGTAGCTAGCGCTGGATTGCATCCATAATGGGGGCGTTTACGGAGTAGTACCGGCCATTATAAGACGGGCTCAGCGATCGTGTTTTAAGGGTAGAAGATAGAGAGGCTACATACGTACCTTACGTCGTGGTGAATATAGAGTGATGGAAAAAAAAGACCTTACAACCGTGTAGATAATGTATTGTAGGGAGGGTAGTTGAGGAAGGAAGAATTCAGATCATAGCTACACAATTCATTCCAAATTCATTTCAGGTTCAGTTCAGGTTCAGTTCAGATTTATAGGGACTTGTATAGTGAATCCTTTATTATACGTATTGTGATATAAGGCTTCTTCCGTTTAAGAAGGGAGTATGATCTGATTGTTATATACGATAATACTCCCAGGCATACTACTAAAGAGACTCTTGATTTCTTGATAGAACAGCCTACCTTTTTACCTGATTTAAACCCTATTAAGGAGGCATAAAATGTCTGAATGTTTTGTCGAGGGCAAACGACTAACATACATGGGGGAGCAAATCAACCCCATCAAATAGACCCATTAGCCGCGACCCTATTAGCCAAATTGTCTGAATCTACGCGCGCCGCTATCATTTACGCCGTGGAAAAGGGCCAAAAACCAGCCCAAATCGCACGTGATTTCGAGATCGATCGTACCACGGTTTACAAGACATTAAACCGCTGGAAAAACAACAAAACCCTTGTTTCTTTACCTCGAAAAGGTAGCCCAAGGAAGCTTACATACGCTGCTTGTTCGTCGCTTTTCTACAATCTCGTGGAAAGAGTTAATTGACTAGATTCCACACAACGTATATCTAGGCTAGCTCGTTGAACAAATGAGAGACAACAACACCGTCTATAGTGTGTTATCTACCTATACGCATACTGTAATTCTCAAGCGGGTCGAGGATTGCCGATTCCAGATGAACGAAACCTATCCCACAAACTGCCACACAGCTATCCGTCAGGCAGTGCATCATGGCAGCCGCCATCCTCGCCTCCGAGGACACGGAGTACCACGAATGCCCTGGTTTCAATCCAAAAATGGTACGGTGGGAAGCATTCTCCGCACTTAGAACATGTACTGACAAATCATTTTATGTGCAGTTACAAACCCATACGGGCCACCTGGGCACCAAGCCTCGACACGCGATTACTCTATGTTGTACCTTGCGCCGCGGATAACCAAATTCCTCCACAGAAATTTCACGTGACAACTCAGACAATCCTTTTTGGCGGCCACGAGTCTGTTACGATAGACTCCGTCGAGATCATGTTGCTAAAAACAAGGCCATCTTCGATGTCCTCTAGCATGTGCTTCGCCAGCTTGCTGACTCAATGAATTGCAAACACAACGAACTTTCTGTCACCGAGCCTTTGGAAGTGTTGTCATAGGCATTGATTTCAGTTGAAAGTGAATAGAACTTCGATGTAAGAACAACATCCTCTATCCTGAAAACAACTTCTATATCCATAAGACAATGTCAAGTCCTAGAAACCTTAGCTGAGAGATAATGTAGTCTAAATCTTGCAAATATTCTCAGATTTTCGTATATACTTGCCAAGAGACACTGCCTACTTACCGTTAATATTGTATATCTACACGATTAGCGTTTCTTACAGATTAACACCTACGTAGACGCTGATCATCTAGTTTAGTCTCCACCATTTAAAGCGGGTAGGGATCGGCTTGGCATAGGGCGTGGTTTACCAAAAATAGGATTTTATACTTCGTAGAAACACCTACAATTATTTACTTGAATCATAGTTGAATTTCTTCTTGTTAAATCTGGGGCACAGTATTTGACCCTAGTTGTTATAACTTGACGATGAAAAGCTGCTTTGGCTTTTTTAGCTGTCGTTTGTGCCAAGTTAATCCCTATGATGTAGTCAATAATATGAAATGCTCCTGATTACTGGAAATAATCCCCAATCTCAGACTTGAGATGGCAATGGCGAAATGAATCAATGTTGGGAATGAGGTGGACACCTACACTTTTATACTCCGGAATAACGTTTATCCCGGCTAGGCCAATGAGGGGTAGTATTTAGTTTGAAAATGGCGTGATTGGTGGGGCCTCCGACATCGTTGGTTCCTGACCGGAACAGGTAGGCGGTATCCACTTGTATAACTCTATTGCCAATTGAGTCACAAAAGAAAAAAATATGCAGCTCGAAGCGGCCCCTATGGTCTCCGCTTTCGCCGGTTCCCCCTCCAAAACCACTTCTCACTCCCTTGCATTATATTGTACACTGCCTTCACTTATTCTTGGCTTGACACTATGGCTACCACCGTTCTTGATTCAAATTTGCCAGTGACCGCGCAGGCCCACAGCAATTGGGTCGTGCAGAAATTCGGCGGCACTAGTGTGGGCAAGTTTGCGCGAAATATCATTGAGCAAGTGGTCGAGTATGACGCATTTCCTCGATTTTGTTTTTGACTGAATGGAGACTAACAATATCACAGACCCAGCCTTGTGAATAATCGAGTCGCCGTCGTATGTTCCGCGAGAAGCAGTTCTACAAAAACTGAGGGCACAACGAACCGGTGAGTCACCGTGATACTCTTCTTATCACAATTGCGATACTGATACACACTCCCTTCGGAACAGGCTATTGCGGGCAGCACGGGACGCTGAACACCCTCGTTCACGGCAATATCTGACATTAGTGGAGGCAGTTCGTCTGGAGCATGTCCAAGTCGCCCAAGAAGAATTGCAGTCGGCAGAAATAAGAGATCAAGTGATTGCGGACATCACCGGAGAATGCGAACGAGTACTCAGGTTCCTTGAGGCCGCTCAAACCCTGGGAGAGATCAGTGCCCGCTGTGTGGACAAGGTTATGAGCACCGGTGAGAAGCTGAGCTGTCTGCTCATGGCCGCTCTACTACAAGACCGCGGGGTTGATTCGCAGTATGTGGATCTTGCAGAAATTATCGATTTCCCCATCGGTCCTCACGGTTTGGACCAGGACTTTTATAATACCCTGGCAGCAGATTTCGGCAGCAAAGTCGAGGCCTGCGGGCATCGAGTACCTGTGATGACTGGGTACTTTGGTACCATCCCTGGTGGTCTGCTCGATCAGATTGGTCGTGGATATACTGATCTCTGCGCCGCCCTTGTCGCGGTCGGAACCCGCGCGCAGGAGCTGCAGGTGTGGAAGGAAGTGGATGGTATCTTTACCGCGGACCCGCGTAAAGTGCCAACGGCTCATCTGCTCCCGACCATCACCCCTGCCGAAGCCGCTGAATTGACTTTCTATGGATCCGAAGTCATTCATCCGTTCACCATGGAACAAGTCATTCGCGCAAGGATCCCTATTCGCATTAAGAACGTCATGAACCCAAAGAACGAAGGCACTATTATCTTCCCTGACTCTGTGGCCGAACTGGAAAGAACCACGCCAGGACATGATCCACGTCTGTTCCGGACACGCAGTCCCAGTCTTGCGAATACACTGAAGCGCCCGACAGCAGTCACCATCAAGCATAATATCCTGGTGATCAACGTGCATTCTAACAAGCGGTCGCTCTCCCATGGTTTCTTTGCGGGCATCTTCTCCGTATTAGACAAGTGGCGCCTATCCATTGATTTGATCTCGACCAGCGAAGTCCACGTGTCCTTGGCCCTTCACTCCGAGATGCCCCTTTTGAATGGAAACGGACGGGATGAGTATCAGGTCATTGATGATGATCTCCAGGGAGCATTGAACGACCTAGCGAAATACGGAACTGTCGACATCATCCCCGAGATGGCTATTCTCAGCCTGGTAGGCAAGCAGATGAAGAATATGATTGGGGTCGCAGGGCGTATGTTCACCACTCTCGGGGAGAACAGCGTGAATATCGAGATGATCTCGCAAGGTGAGTAAATAATTGCCGATCCCCACTCTCCTGCCCCCTCGCTCTACCTTTTGTACCCTTGACTAGGGCTAACTGGATCTTTCTTTCCCCCTCGCAGGTGCAAGTGAAATCAATATCTCCTGCGTCATTGAAGAACGAGACGCCGACCGTGCCCTGAATATTATCCATACGAGCATGTTCACCTTCTTGGACTAAACGTCTCACATTTGCATCGAGCAAAAAATCATTGTTGTTTAAGATATCCCTTGGGTTTTATTGATAGAAAAAGTTATGCATCCAACAGAAGTCAAAGACCCCCCTTAAAGACAGGGGTGGTCCCGACTTTTGTTGGGAAAAACAAAAGCATAGGCTTTTCTTTTTTTTTTTTGTGATGCATGGGCTTGGCGTTTTCTCTTTCCATTTTTCTTTCGGTTTAGAATAGAAGTCATGAAGCGTTTGTTTCATGAGGGATGGTTTACTCTAGAGTGCTCTCGGATATTAACCACACCTACCTCGTATATATCAGATTCTTCTGCATTTTTTTTCTCTTTAACTTCCTTTCCATTATAGTGTTCATCCCTAGCTGTTTTTCTTTTGCACCCTGAACAGAATTGAGTACACTCCCCATCTGCTCTCCATCCGATAGCGAAAGAACCATCAATGACGGCAGCCTGGTCACTATTATTCCAAGGTTGGCCTTGGAATGATTAATTGTTAGGTCGTTTCAACTCTCTTGGCATGCTACCATTTATCAATTGATCGTAAGGCACCATTTAACCTGGCCACCTGGATTGTCACTGTCAGATTAGCATTGTGATCAGCTTTAGCTACTTAGTTTCTCGCTCTAGCTTTGCTTGAAACCGAGGGCCATTGCATCGCTAAATTCTCCACTGGCTTGGGAATGACTGAGTGTTACCATCTTGACCAAAAGATTTACACTGCGACTCTAACCGCCCTGGTGAGAACAGCAGGAAAAGAAAGCTTCG